CCCTCCCTGCCTGCTGCTTGCATGTGCCTGCGGCTTCAGCCAGGGCAGGAGATGGGGCTGCAGGGACAGAGCTCCTGGGCACACTTCTTTGGTCCCATTAAGCCTGAAATGAAAGAATGATAACGAGATGCTATTTTGTTTGGCAAAGAGATTTTCTTACACTCAAACCACTCTGACAAATTATTTCTGTGTTGAAATGTTGCCAGCTTCAGCTGTACAAAAGCATTTTCTCCCCAGTCTGTGGGGATGGCCCCTCCATCTGGAGTGTTACACAGGGCTGCCCTGCCTTCCTCCTGCCCTGTCTGGGCATCATCCTGCCCTGGAGAGTATGGTACCACTGAGAAGTGACTCACCCAAGGGCTAGAGCAGAGCCTGGCACTCCTGTCATCCATGCCACTGCTCCTTGTCCCCTCTTCTGGGCAGTGCAGTGAGCCAGGCTGCTCTAACAGCTTGGTTTATGAATCAAGGCTGCCTCTCAGTGCAAGGAGAGAAATAAAAAAGCCAAGATGCTGAAAAACCCATTAGGATGGCAATTCTGGAAAATCTATGCCCTAGAGCACCCTAAACTGGGGTCTGCTGGCCCCTGTGAGATGCTCTCATGTTCACTTCAGATCTCTATGACTGGGAGACGCTGGTGATGCACATAAAGTGCACCAGAAAGAGCCAGGGCTTTACTGGTGTCTGTGATGCTTCCAGTGTCTCTGCCCCAAAAGCAGCTCCTCGGAGTTTCGCTCCAGAGGATGATCCCTGCCAGGAGAAACCCAAACAGTGAGAAATGCTTTAAGTCGAACCCCAGTAGCTCCAGTTCCCTCTGGTCCCCTCTGGTGACCACAGATACATGGTGTATTTGCCATGAGCCAAGCAGCTTCCCCTCCTTGTCCCTCAATAGCCCGGTGCTCTGGGGCAGCCAGGACAGGCACCAGCAAACTCCATGTTTCCAGAGGAGCCAGTGCAAGAGCCTTGCACAGGGCAAAAATACCCTGAGCTCCAAGGGGTCCAAAATATTTCTGACTAAGGCCCTTGGGGAAAGGTGTGAGTGGCAGTTCGCTTGGGAGCTCACAGGCTGCTTGGACATGCAGGGGGGCTCTGCCAGATCCTCACACTGCTAAGGTGACATTATTTGCCTGTGGAAGCTGCTTTCTTGGAAGCAGGAGACTGAGCACCGTTTCCTTGCACATCCATCATGTGTTGTCACTGCTGTTTGTGAGCAGGGGTTGCATGTCCAGTTCTGGCATGGAGAATGGTTTTCTTACCCAAGTCTTGACACCTGGGAGAGATTTCTTGCCTTTTGCTAGCTCGTAAAATAGTGAGCGAAGAGCTAAGGCCAAAGCAAGTGTTCCCAGGTGGGATCTAATGCCCTTGCTGGGATGTCTGGTCTAGGAACAGCAAAAGCACATCAAGCCTGTCAGCTCTGTCTGTGTTCTCCAAAGACAAACATAAGTGTGTCCTCTTCCTTCCCTTGTCAGGGATGCAGCTGTATAAACACCAGGCGAATACATTGAGTGCTGTTGGTAGCACTTGACATCTCTGTAGGTACCTGCACTCAAGACAGTTTCACTTTTGTATCTAAGGGCAGCACAAAAGATTTGTTTTTCTTCTCTGTGTTCGTCATCCCGTGGTAGATGGAGAGGCCAGAAGAGACCAGCATGGTCCCCAAGAGGGGCCTCCTGCAAGCACATGCCACAGCGAGCTGGGGGAAGGGATTTCATCCTTCTTTCAGTAATACTTTGTGGCTGAGTAGGTTTTTTTTCACTTACAGCAGACTGTTTTTTCCCACCCTTTCCCTCGTGCCTTCTATCAGCACTGCTCAGTCTGCTGTGCCTGCTGCCACGTCTCTGTGCTCCCACAGCCTCAGTGCGCTGCTCTCGGTGGCCTCAAGCAGAGCAGAGATGCTCTCTGGACCCTGGGCACTGCATCACCACTCCTTGCTGCCCGTTACCTCGGTGTGTGTGCTGATCCCATCCTTTCCCTCACTGCCACAGTGCTTGCTGCTGCCTTCAGAGCAGCCTTACACTGGCCCTTGGCTTCCTGGCATGGCACAGGGAGGTCAACCCCACCCGGGGAAATGAGAGATGCTGCTGCCATCCTGGAGCCTCCTGGGGATGTTCTTCTGCCCATCTACATGCTCGTGGTCCTGTATTGGTTTTTGGCTGCACTTCCCAGGGCTGCCCAGCCCAGGGCTGGCTCTGCTTCACCCTTGCCAGAGCAAGGACAGCAGGCAGCACTTGCCTTACAGCTCCAGCCACCTCCCAAGCACTTGGGATCCAAGTAGGAAGGAAGACGGACTCTCTCCAGGGAAGGTGGGGGCCAAATGATCCTTTCACATGCTGGAAAGCTCTGCAAAGGGTGGATGTGTTCCCTTGGGGATCATGAGACCAGCCTGGGGCTGGAAGTGGTTGGTAGCATTTTGGAAGTGTCTTGTGAGCTGCTGCAGCTGTGCTGGGGCTTGGCAGAGCTCCTCAGGCCTCATGGGTGAGCAGAGGGCCAAGGCGTGAAGAGGACAGTCTTGCTGGGGGCAGAGCCTGTGTGCTGGTGTGCAGCATTCAGCCATGCTACTGGTCAGGGCCACGAGTGGGCTCTGCCATCTCCAGCCCCACTGTCCATGCGGACCAGCCCTTTTCCTCCTCTTCCCATGGGTCTCCCAGGGTCAGGGACTTGTCTCAGAGTGGTGTTGCCAAGGTTCCTTCAGTGCATCTCAAAGTTCTCCACATAGAAATCCAGTGTTCTTAGGAAGTGAAGCCCGTGAAGGTGGCTACGAGGATACCTCTTGCCTCTTCCAGGTCTGGTTTGCCTCATCACAGGCTCAGGTCTCTTGAGGCTCAGTGTAAGTAATGCCAGTATTAAGTTCTTTATAATCAGGTGAGAAACACCATCAGGATTCCTCCTACAGGCTTGTTTCCTCCTTATGCCCCTGGCCTTGGGGCAGGATGCACAAACACAAGGTGCTTTGCAGGTGCCCACAGAGCTTTCCTTGGCGCTGTGCAGACCTGGGTTTGGGTGGGTTGCCTCCGTGGAGTCTCCATCCCTGCCTCCAGCGTGGGCACTGGAGGAAGCAGCAGTGCTGCTGGAATAAACATCCCTGTTCATCCACATCTGTCAAAGTACCAGGAAAACCACCGCTGGAAAGGGCAGAGCTGAGGTGCGGGTCCTTCTCTCCAGCCTCCTGGGAGGGAAGAGCAAACAATAGGGCTCTGAAGCCTGGGAAGAGCTGCCGGATACACTGGGCCTGCTGGAGCTGGGTGCGGGCTGGGAAAGCCAGCGCCGGGTTGACGTGTTTATATTGGAGCTACTTGAAAGCATTCCTCGAAGGAACCATCTCGGGGGACTCTGTAGAGTCTCTGCTGCTGATGGCTGAAGAGCATGACCGAGAGGCTGCATTGGGATGTTTCTCCACCACTCACTGTGCTTTTCACTGCTCAGAGGGACGAGGCTGAACCTTTTTCCATGCCGCAAAATCAGGAAGTCCCCACTCTCCTCTTCTTCAACTTTTGAGGAGCCTGGGGATGGTGTTGAGGGAAGATGTATCCAGATCATTCATGGCTGTGGAAAGGGTCCTTTCAAAAAAGCCTTGTCTTCTCTGCAGTGGTGCCTCTTTCCTCTGATGTCCAGCAGCTGGGGAGGCTGGAGATGGCACATTATGTCCAAGATGATACTGACAGGCACATATTTAGAGGCTTCGTTTCTCCATCAGATTCACCTAGTCAGGGGGAGCATGGTGGCTGCGGTGCGGCTGGAGCTTGGCTCCCTCTTCTCTGCCCCTGTGAGACCCGCCTGGATATTTTGGCAGAGCCATGCAGGGATATTGCTGTGGCATCAGCAACATGCCTGTGTCCCATGTCAGCCCTGAATGTAAAGCTCCTCGGTGTAATACCCTCTCCTTGAAGTAGGAGTGCCTGTGGGCACACAGTGGGCATTGGGGTGCCCTGGGGAGGTACCAACAGTAGCTGGATAGTGCTGGTCCAGATGCAGTGCTGCTCTGGCTGTATCATTAAGGTCACTCCCATGCGATCACCCCTGGCCTGCACGAGTCAGGAGCCTGTGAGTGGCTCTGTCCTGCTTGTCATTGACATGGCTCTTTGCCAGCCTCACTTCCCTGCCACAAAATGAGCTGCTGTCTCAGCCAAGCAGAGGGGTAGGTGTAGGGGTGTCAGAGATGCTCATTTAAAAGCCTACCCAGTGTTGCTGCTCTGGTTCTTCCTGTTAGTCCAGGAGCATTCCGAGGAACAGCCAGGTGTTCAGTGGCACTTGTACTTGGGATCAAGGCTTGGCTGCGTGCAGGAGGGATGCACCAGTGTGAGGAAGGTACCTGTGGCCCCCAGGGAGGGATGACAGAGAAATAAAACCCTTTGTGCCTTAGGAGGAGATGCTGGGGAAGGTCTCTGGAGCAAGGGGGACCCCAGGATGGGGAGCAGAGGATGGTGGCTCTTTCTCAAACCCTGTCTGGTCACCTGGGTAGTTGCACGAGGCAGAGTTACATGTCTGTTGTGGGGAGGCAACCAGGCCCTGCAGAGGCAATGGTGCAGCAGTGAGAGGCCAAAGGGTGGTGGTGGCCTTTGGACTGTGGCTGGGAGCCAGCATCAGTCTCACCCGTGCCTCTCCCAGTGCCACTGTGCTGAGGTGGGATTCACAGCGACACGCTGCCCCTGGAGAGCATGGTTTCCCAAAGATGTGGTGAGCAGTGGACGGGAAAGGGACACACCACCCCCTTAGGACTGAAGTGGTTGGGAGCAGGTATGTAATATTGGATGTAGAGCAGAGGATGGTTATGGGCAGGGGGGGGAACAAGTGAAACAGGGCATCGGCAGTGATGTGGGACTGCTGCTGTGGGGCATTGGGATGGAGTGCGGGAGAGCACCCTGCCAGTGGGAGAGTCACAGAGGACACCCCCAAGGAAGCTGTGGTGAAGGGAGTGCCTGGGACCTGGCAGATGAAAGGTCTGTGGAGAGCAGGAGCAGAGTGCAAAAGAGTTGGGATATCCGGATATCTCAGGGCTTGGCAGGGAAGGCACAAGAAAGGGCGCATCACCGAGAGGCAGCTCTGGGCATGCAATGGAGTGCAGGGGCCATGCAGGACAGGTCAGTGCTGTGGGATGGGGAACAAGTGTTAAGGTTCAAACAGAGCAAAATGGCTGTGAAGGTGTTAGGGGAGCATCTCGGGGCATGTGCAGCGTGCCCTCAGGTCTTACCCGAGGGTGGCTGGTGGCGGATGCATGGAGGGAGGGCACAAAATGGGGCCAGGCTCAAAGGGACCTTCCTTTGGAAACCTTGAAGTTCAGGCTGGTTTAAGAGCCTTTCCGTTCCCTTTTCCTCAGAGCTCACAAATACAGACTGGGTGTAGCTGTAGCCTGACAGCAGGTGATGTTACTGCACTGCAAAATGCACGTTTGGGTCGGGGTATTGCGGTGGGCACACTGGGTTGTGCTGGATCCTGAGTTCCACCACGGGTCAGAGGATACTCCCACCGGAGGAGGATTTCACAGCCATGGGAGCTGAGCAGGGTCAGTGGGTTTGGCCAAGGGAACCGGATCTGAGGGCATCTGGGCTGGGCTGGGAGGATGCTCTACACTGAAGCTTGCTGGGTTTTGTCCGAGTGTAAACACGTATCCTGTGCATCTCCCATAGACCTCATGGGGTTTTCTGCAAAGTGAGAAGAAACTTGGATCAAAACCCAGTAACATGTGGTGTGGAAGGATTGTCATCACAGTTTGACAATCTGAAGGCAGACACTTGGATTATTTTTCAGCTCACTGCTTGAGTAGTTGAGAACAGCTTTACTGGTCTTCAGCTGGTTGTTCTGGGTGCTGTGCTAGCTAATGAGCCTTGGGAGTCGTAGGTTGTTTCCTATCTCAGTGCTGCTGATACCAGACAGGTTATAGTACAATGAACTTGTTTCATCTCGTTGTTCTGCTGTTCATGACTCAGAAGTTTATCATGTGTGTAACAGGGATGTGTTTCTGTTTCGGGAAGGGGGATCTCCAGGAAAAAAACAATGAGGAGCCAATAACAACTCGTTGGGGAATCTCCAGGCACTTGAGACTAACAATCTGGGATTTGGGTGGATTAGAGGATACTTCAGTTAATAGAATTCTTAAGTAATTCCCTGTATTTGTATCTTTTTTCCTTTAGGGAGACTCCTCCCCACTGGCAGCCTCTGCCTGGCACGAAAGCAGCCATGTTGGTCAAAGTGAACAGTCTGAGGCAGATACAGAGCTCTTCAAACAGTTCCCTTCAGCTGCAGGGTGCTCCAGAGACCAGCAGCCAAAAATCGCTTCCAAAACCAGCCATATATGCTCAGCCTCAATCTACGTCCCACAGCCCTGGAGCCACAAAGCAAATGCCTACAGGAGAAACAAAGCAGTCTATGCAGGTCAAAAAGACAGAGAATGGTGGGTTTTGCCTCGTGCTGATGAATGGTCCAACTTCTCAAACGCCTCCAAGGAGCCAGACAGGAACCCCTCAGCCTGTATCCCCCAAGTATGCCTCCCCTGCACCTATATACGATGAGCCATCTTTAGAGTCTCCGATTTATGATGAGCCACCAGTAGATATGGACACTGAAAGCATCAGTATGAGTGGGATGTTTCCACCAAGGTCACCGAGCAGTAGCTTAAAAAAGCAGCTGCAGCCAACCAAATTATTACAGCATCCAAGTATGCAACAGCAGCAAGCTGCAAAGCAGCATGCAAGAAATCCCTCTGCCACTGAATACAGCCCAGCTGGCAGAGAATATATAAAACACATGGTCAATGTTGACCAGTCTTCCAAACTCTCCCAGTCTTCTGCTGCAACAGCTGATGCCTCTACTAAATTGCCAGGTCAGCTTAGTTCAAAGGACAGCTTCAAGCAGTCTTGGAGGATCTTGGAAGCCAATGTCCTCAAGAACATGGAAGCCCACCACAGTCGGCAGAGCAGCCTCCAAACTCAAGAGTACCCATCCGGAATAAGCCATCAGGACTCTGGTTATTCGACTGGCCCTTCCCCAAGCTTAAGAAAAAGGAAAGGAAGGAGGCAAGGGACAGGTCAGGGAAGACCTGGCTCTGTGGGCAGCAGCAGCGAGCTCACGGCTTTGAATGATAAGCTGATTGCTGAGATGCGTGCTGTGGTGGGCAGGTCAGCAGCTTGCAGGGGAAGCAAAGCCAGCCTCGATGCTGAAAGTCTGGAGAGTGGCATCCCAGCAGAGAGCAGCAAAGTCCGATTCCAGTCTGACCACCTGAAAAAGTGCATCAGCCGAAGCTCAAGAGATGACATCTCGGCCAGTAACAGGTCTCTGTATAGGCAGGGCCTGGAGAGCAGGGGCAGCTTTCCCAGCGATGTGTCTCCACAGGACACAGTGAGGCAGAAGAGGACTTTTGAGAAAATAGATTCCTTAGAAAAGAATGTGACCAGCCAGACAAGTTTGGCTTCATCAGATGCTACACGCCACTCCTCCCAGGTACCTCCCCATCCACACTGGGTTCATGTCATGCTTTGCTGGGCTGTCATGGTGCAGGGCTGAGAACCTGGCTCTCTTCTAATAGTTCCTCATATTCTGTTCTCCCTGATGATCTGTTCCTGAGCATTGAATGGAATCAGAAAACTAGTGACAGTGACTAGCATCTTCTTGTTGGGAATAACTATTTTAGAGCCTCTTAGTCTGCCTGCACAAGTGGAGTAGTTTTTTCTCTATAACACAGCACTTTTGCAGAATTTAGTTTGCCATCTTTTCTCCTATTTGGATGTGAAGGAACCTCCTGCTTCCTTAGTTCAGATTTAGGTTCTATATGGGTGATTTTATATCCTGTGAAGGTTCTGCCCTTTTTGCTCCCTCTTCCAATTATTTCACTCCGGCGGAACAGCCTGAGTCTCTGCATCTCTTTGATAACAATGCTCCAGCATGTTCCCTTTGTTATCTCCTTTCTCCTGTTTGCCAGTACATGACCTTTCATGAAGAAACTTGGCAAAGCTCCTTGAGCATTTCAGATTGCTCCAGTAGACCTGTGAGGTTTAGCTTTAAAGCCAGGCTGACACCTCCCTGCTGCACCAGATTTATGTGCGTGCGTTCTCCTCTTTATTGCAATTTCTGCTCGATAGCACCTTGCTCTCACCTGAAACCCTTTTAAAAACTGATGCCATCTTCCCACATATTCCATTTTTGAGGCACAGGGTCAGTTTGAGTTGCCAGTCCCATGTTACAGTTAACAGTTCAGCAGTTTCATTTCACAGCCTCTTTAGACTTGTCGGAAGACAACAAGACTGCTATCCAGTCTTCAGGGTGTGTTACACTTCACTGCATTGACATGGAGAGCTGAGACTTGATGTCTTGATTATGCACAAGAGATGGGGGGCAAGGGTTAGGCTGGGAGTGGTCTTGAAAATGAAGAAGAATAATTCATGTGTGGTAGGCTGGAGAAGGAGAATACAGTGGAAGATGTAAGGAAATAAATGTCGTGGTAAAAGTAACATGTCAATAAATAAATGCTCTATTTACAAAAACACTCTGAGATTTAAGAGTCCAAGTAAGGAGGGGAGGAGGTTGCAGAGAATCACTGTCTCACCTGAAAATGGCAGTATGTGACTTGAGTCACCAGCAATGGCCTGTGCTGGGCTTGAGTGATGGAGAGGACAATTGAGAGACAAGGAAATGCATTATTGAGGAGGGTGGGCAGAAGTTCTAGGACAGGCTGAGCAGAGGTGGATGTGTACTGTCAGCACAAAGGTAATTGCTGGGTAGTCGTGTGAATGAGATTTGAGAGATGAACTCTAGAGAGAGAAGAGGAGAGAGCCAAAAGCCTGTTGAACCTCTAGAGAGTGTGAGGAGGTGGATCCTCAGAAGTTTCTAACAAGCTGAAGGCGCAATTAGGGTGGTAGGAGGAAAACCAATCTTGGACATGGCAGGTGTGTTGAAGGAGACCAAGAATGGAGGTGGCAGAGAATTGTAGGCAGGGATTTTTAGTCAGTGTGTTCAGAGGGGGTAAGGAGGTAGAGGGGTAACTCAAGGAATGAAAAACCAAAACAAAGTAGAAAAGCAAGAGAAATGATTGTGCCTCAGGCTGGCAATAAGAGGTGGAGTATGATGTGTGCTAATCCCGTCATCCACATGTAGGTACACGTTGGGGTAAGGTAGGGAAGCATTGCACTGCACAAGCCTCTGTCCTGAGTTCAGCAGTTCCTCATTACTAGGAAGAAAACACTCACTTGCTCTAAACATTTAAGAACTAGTGTGTGTTTTGGGGGTGACTGTAGGCCAGGACCTGAGTAGAGTGTGGCACACAAGTCAAAGGGGCTCTGCAAATAAAGAAAATGCATGTTTTACTCACTTTTTCCACTGCAAAACCAGAATTTACAGGATTTCTATTTCTTTGTTTTCCTTTAAAACCCCAAAACCTCAAGATTATCTTGTTTGGCTTTTTCTTACTTGCTGGAAATCTCCTCTGATAACACAGAGCAAAGTGTAGGCTGCTTAGCTCTTAGTTGCTATATGTGGGAATGTCAAGTCTAACCAAAAAGTCTGTTTCCTAAAACAACTTGTTGGGTGTTTGAGTTAAATATATGTCCCAGGCTGCCACTTCCATCCAAAACGGAGAATTCTGCATGGGCAAAATAAGTGTCTTATTCTCACAAGTAGTTATTAGACATCATTTTCTTGGGATCAGTAGTACCAAAGCTCTAATTATGTAGTTATCCATAGCCACCACTGGGGAAGAAGTCTGGACAAGGGCTGCATGTAAGAACTGCACACAGAGTCTGGGAGGAAGGAAGGTCTTTGTCTCTGCTGCTTATCTCTGTCAGCTTGTGATGAGTGGACTTGTCCCTGGAGCAGATGAGTTCAGTCACTGCAGACTGTGGATGGGCAGCAGCTGTTCTAGTTCTCTGAGAAGAAAACACAACCTTGTGCTTGGAAACAATTCTAATTTAATTTGGGGAAGTTTACGTTTGGGTAGGAGAACGTGGCAGGTAGCCCAGGGCTGGTTTGGTAGGAGGTCGTGGTGTGTCTGTAGGGTATGGTGAGAGCCGGTACAGTGGTATCTGTGTCAGTCAGCTCCATTGGTGGTGGAGTTGACTGATGCAGATACGTGGTCTCCTTTGCTTCACCAACTCAAACATGATTTATCCTACCTGAGTGACAGCCTGGCCATCAAAATAGCTGTGCCCATGCTCTGTTGTGCCTCTCTCGGGCTCTTCTGTCCTGTTTGTGTGTCTGGCCAGTATTTTTATTAGGAAGGTCATGGTGGAATTGAGATACATGTTTTCAATGCCTTAAAGCAGAGGCTGTGCAGGCACAGGCTGCCCAAAGCTCGGCAGCTCCTGATGGTTGCTGGCCATGTTGATCTGGTTTTGTCTTTTTTCTTAGTTTTGCTAGAACTTGGAAAAGTACTCAAGGCAGGAACCAGCTACAGGATTGTAGGGGCCACAAAGAGTAAAGGTGAGAAGGAAACAGTGCTGGTAGTGCTGTGGCTATCTATTCTCTGCCACCTTCTGGTGTTCCCACCACCTCCTGGGCTCCTGTGGCTCCTCAGCAACTGGGAGGTGGTGAGTGGGGAGAAACTTGGCTCTTTGGTGTGTGCTTGGTGCCGCAGAGCTGCACTACTGCTCTGAGGCTCAGCCCAGCTCCTGCTTGGGCTGGCTGGGAGCTCTGCAGCAACTCGAACAATCCGTGTCCCAATACTTCCCTTGGGGACAACATCAGTGTGTGACTGGGCCAGGCTCCTGCAGAACTACAGATGCCAGCCACTGATTCTGCACAAATTCATGTTTTATACAGATTCATGACTTTGTAGCTTCATGCTCTTGATAATTTTCCTAACAGAATAAAGAGTCATCTAAGCTGCTTTGAACATCTCTGTTCTCCATTGCAGGCCGGGACAATAGACTTGGACCCCAAGCAGGAGAGCAGTGCCCAGCCTGGTGGCTGCGGAGGATACCACTTCCCTTACAACACTCTACGGAAGCCCATCTCTCAGAGCAGCATGGCAGACTGGGCTTCTAAAAACCTCAACATGCACACGCAGGGCATCTTCCGCCGAAGGATCTCCATCTCCAACATGCTGTCCTGGAATGGTGGCTCTATCAAAAAGCCAATGCTCATAACCAGCAACCGCACCATCAAAAAGGAGGCGTGTGAGATGTTCAAACTGGTGCAGAGCTACATGGGAGATCGCCAGACTCGCATGGACCGGAACCACGTGGCGTTGGTCACAGTCACCAAGTGCTGGAGCATGCAGGGCTTACGGGATGAGCTCTACATCCAGCTCATCCGGCAGACAACAGATAACACATGCTACCGAAGTCTGGCGTGGGGCTGGGAACTGATGGCCATCAGTCTGGCCTTTTTCTCCCCATCACCCAAATTTCAGTCCTATCTGGAAGGTTATATTTATCGCCACCTTGACAGTGATGAAAACAGTAAGTGCCTTGTGCAAACCCACTGTGTCCCCAGCAGCATTCTGGTGGGTCGTGCCACTTATTCAGGCTTGTCTGGTTTTTAAATATACCAGGCAGTGCTGTGGTGTCCATCAGTGAGAGCACCATGTGTTGGGTGAGTTCACCCTTCCCTGGGTGGGATGAAGCTGCCACCAGCTCATCTCTCTGCAGTTCTCACTGGTGTCTGTGAATGTTAATATAGAAAGTTTTAAGGGAGCCATTGCGAACACTATGAGCAGGTATTTAGGCAGTAAGTTTAGTTAGGTATAAGCTTGCTGCGTGGAGGCCCTTCTCAACTATTTGGCCATTTGGAGAAGCTGAGTGATGCTCTGGGCCCCTCAGCTGCATTTGGAGCTGGCTGTGGTGCAGGATCTTTCCCTGAGCAGATCTCATGCTGGAGTTAAGCTGGTTACAGTGTCTAAGGGCAGTTCTGGGCTTTGGTATTTTATTATTCCACATTATTAATCCAGAACCTTCTGATTTTTCAGTTGCCCAGCGCATCAAGGAGCTTGCGGATCTGAAAAACAAAAAGAACTCAAAATCCAGGAAAAAGAGGAAACAAAACACTGAGGATGAAGGTAAAGGGAGGCACAGCACATAGGGAGCAGAGAGGGAGACTGCACTGACCTCTGACAGGCGGGATGCTGAGCTCCACTGAAAATCAGACCTTTTCTTTAAGTTCCTAGACTTAGACTCAGGAATCTCCACTGCAGGTGGCTGGTGTGAGAGCTTTGAGCGTGGATCAGCAGTGTGGGTGGCAGCTGGGCAGCACACGGGAGGGGTACAGTGTGACCCCTTTCACAGTTGTGTGACAAAGGGGTTTTAATTTGGTTGCAGACATGAGGCTGTGGTTCAACTGCTCTGTGTATTACATGGAGTTTCCTATAGCACATTGCAGTGCTAAAAGCCATATAAACCAGCATGTTTCAAGACAACCTGTCTCAATTGTAGTAATGGATGTTGTAAACCAGCACCCAACCTCAGGGCCCTCAGGAAGGACCCTGACATCTGGCAAAGAGCACTGCTTTTTTCTCTCCAGTATTGGCTACCCCTTGTCCAAGCTTCCTGGGCTCTGCAGTCCAGGGCTTGCAATAGCGTCTCTGCTGAATGAACAAGAGTTCATGTATTCTTCCAACCTCAGGTTCTAACTGCTGCCTGCAGGATGATCATTTATCTGGCTAAAGTCTTGCTAGACAAAGTCCATTCAGTTTTTTTTATATTGCTTTCAGGAAACTTGAGCCAAGCCTGCAAATTCCTATCAGGCAGCAGTTACATCATGTGGCCTTGGGGTTTTAATCTGGGAGAGCTGGAGTCCAGCTGAGCCCTACCTGAAGCCAGCAGTGGGCACCAAAGCCTCGCTCACCTACAGTGGCTTCCCCGAGTCACTGCTCCCCTGAGGCCACTGCAGGCTGGGAAGTGGCTGAGGAGGCCCCTTGGTTGCTGCCCCTTCAGTAAGTGTGTTCATTGCTTCTCTGTCTCTGGCGGGATTCAGAGCAGAGACCTGAAATTGCAGAGTGGGCTGCAAGAAACCGCAGGTCACCTGGGGAAAGCAAGAGGAAAAAAACATCTCGTTGTAGCAGAAGAATTGGGAACCACCTGGTTTTATTGGTGGGCAGCAGGCTTGAGAGTGCTCCGTCCTGAAGCACAAAATTAAATCATTAGAAGCTGGCAAAGCAGGGTGTTGTGCAGGTTAGGAGCATAAACATGTTCAGGAAGAAGTGGGGCAAATGAAAGAAGGGAGGTCTGTCAGTTGATGGTTAATGGTCCAGGTGCAGCCCTGCCTCAGGGTATCTCCCACCTGCTGTTAGTGGATATTCCAAGGGGAATACTCACTTTTCAGACATCCTATATCTGTTTCTTACCTTCCTGATGGCAGATTCAGGATGCTGACTCGTACAGCCATTTGGGCTGATAAAGGATAGCATTTCCCATGTAGGAGAACAGTGATGGAGCAGCAGTGCTGGGATGCAGAAGGATGCACTGGTGGCATGAGGAATAGGGGCTAAAACACTGCAGTAAAATGTGGGTGCCTGGGCAGATCTAAGCCAGGAGAGTAGCACTGGTGCAGAGCCCAGCTGATCTGTTCTGGGGGCACCTGCCCCTGTGTTGAAGAGCACAGCAGGATGGGTCCCCAGGCTGAAGCCTGCTCTGACTGTGCCAGGCTGAGGTCTGTGAGAGGCCGTGGTATGTCGGAGAAATACTGAGACAACAGCTTCTGCTGTGCTAAAATATGTCTCCCATGGCCAGGTCCTGAATCCACATTGTTTGCTGCATTTTCAAGACATTTTTGGCAGGAGAGCATTCAAGTCTATTCCAGAAGGTGTGTTCCTGCATGTGCCCTGCCTGGATTTTAACTTGTTATGAAAGGAGAGGTTCTTTAAGAAACTCTTTGCTGTGTTTCCAGGCCAGCACATGGAAAAATATTTTCCTTTGCAAACTATTTTTCACTGTGTGGGCTGTTAGTCTTCTGTTCCCGAGCTCCTGGGGCTACTGTGGTACCACAGGAAATAACAGCTCAACTTGGATTTCACAGATTCATCATCTGCTCTGAGCAGTGGAATTGCCTTCAGTATTAGCCCTTTCCAGCCCGAGAGCTGTGAGCTGGGGAGCAGAGGTAGTACCTGGCCCCTTCTTAGGAGAACTGATTGTGTGGGATGAGCTGGATGCCAGGAGCAGGTCTCTCAGTGAGCATTGTGAAAGCAGCCAGATGGTCAAGTGAAGTCGCTGGTCTGGAAAAGCAGAGGCTAAAGCTAAATTCTGCTCGTCTCCCTCATGTGTTTCTCTGCAGCTCATAACTTACCCCCTGGCCTCTCTGCATCTCCTTCACCCACCTCACCCTGCGCATGCCCTGGGAGCCAGGAGCACTTGTGTCAGGGCAGAGGGCCTGCTGTGTAGCAGGGGGGCTGCGTGTTAAGGTGTGAGCCTCTGCAGAGCCGTTTGTTCTGTGCCAGCCGTGGCAGAGCTGGTCACCCTATGCCTCAGGGCTGCCTCTGCTTTCTTGGCATTTCAGGTCTGTGGGCAGTGACGTGGCCAGTCCCTCGCTCATGGGACAAATTGACTTCTCAGTTTATTAGCTTGGAATTCAGTCAGCTCCCCTCTGGGTCCGAGATGGGACTTGAGTTGTCATTGAGAGTAGGATGTCTCATTGCAGGAAGTGCAGGATGTAGGATTTAGGCTTCTCCAAGGATCGGGGAGCTTCCTGGGAAAGCATAAAACGCTTCAAGCAAATGTGTCTGGCTGCTGCCCACACACCAGCGGGGCAGGCAACCAGTTCCTTCACAAACCTTGTTAAACTCTTCAGGTGATTATGGGTTTCATGGTCTAATTGCAGTGTGAAAAAAGCATTTCCTACTGTAAGTTCTGAATGTGCTGCCTCCTGTGAAATTGTTGTGATGCAGAGACACAGCCCAGTCTTTTCCCATTCCCTGCTTTGTGAAGCGGGTGACACTTTGCTTCAGGGCGTCCGCACATTCTAACAACAGGAGCCGTAACCTGGAATAGTGAAGCATCACAAAGCAGCTCATTGGTTTTGTTTTCTTTAATCCTTAGATATTTCCAGTGTAAACCATGCCTGGGATTAGCAGGATTTTTGCATACAGAGAATATTTGCTTTAGATGTTCCCAAGAGAAAGAAATTCTTTAAACTGACTTTCCATCCCATTGGCTGCGGGAAGGGGGGAATGCTGTTGTACCTCCTCCAGCATTATGGAGAGGCTCCATCCAGATGCCAAGCAAATTGATTGAGGCAGGGGGTGCTTGTTTCATTGTGGGGAGCCAAGGGCTGTGGTTTGTCTGTTGGCTGAGAGGAGAAGGGGAAAAGTGCATCTCTCACCTTTGTGAATTGTTCTGCTTCGGGAAAAGCTGCTCCTCCCATGGCATTGAGAGGATTTGAGGAACTCCAGGCTCCTGACCAGCTTACCTAAGCCACAGGGTGTGTGAAAGGCTGATCTGAAATATGCAGCATCTGACCAGAATGTAGATTTTTAAAAGCCACAAGTATTTTGAACTCTGCTGCAAGCTTTGAGCCTGGCAGGGAATCAAATAGGGCAGATCTATTCACTGCTTTCAGCAAGCAATTTGGGTTTGACTCGAAAAAGAACAAAAGGCCAATGGGTTTGGAAAAATTCTCCCAGCAATCAGTGTTCTGTCAGTGCAAACATTTCTCTTGGTGTCACGGGGGGATTAGCTCTGTGAATCCTGGCTCTGCTCTCCTCAGAGTTCGCTGAACCAAGCACAACAACCAGCACAGCCGTTCATCGGAGTTCCCAAGCTCCGATGTGTCCAATCTTCCTTGTATCACAGAGCACACCCAAGCCTCAAGGTACAAGGTTGGGTTGGAGGAGGCTGCAGGCAGGAGAGTGAGGAAGCTTTCTGCAGGGCTTTGGGAAGATGAGAGAGGCTCTGCCACCTTCCCACACCTCTCCTTACATCCTGAACTCGCTCATGGTGCTGCTGCCACCTTTCTCGCTAGCCCAGGACTGCAGTTCTTGAATCATAAACCGTTTGGGTTTAAAGCACCTTGAAATCTCTCCTGGCAGGGGGCTGGCTCTGCCTGCTCTTTGGCTGAAATCTGGCAATACATAAATACCCAGCCCTGTGTCTGTGAGCTACATAACTGCAGCCGCGCTGGGGGGAGTGAGGGCTCGCGCTCACACGTGTGCTCAGGCTGTGAATGCCAAACGGGGGCATCTTGCATTGAGTCAGGACAGGGTCAGGCTGCCTGTGTGAGAGGTGGAGATCTGCAGGAGCGGGGCTGGGAGGTGCAGAGCTACGAGCCTTGACTCAGAAGATGAATCCCTCCAAGCCCAAGCACTGACTTGCACCAACACTTCCTGCCTTGGGGCTGCAGGGCCCGGAGGCTTTGGGGTGCTCAGTGTGAGGTTTTGACAATCTCAGTGCCCTGACCCTACAACAGGCTGTGCAGAAGAGGAGTGGCTGTTTGTGCTGGTGCTCTCTGAAGGGCTCCAGTGTGGTGGGTGCATGGTGCTGTGGGTGACCACTGATTTCTCCTTCACACCAGGTCTGCCCATCAGCACCTATGCCAAATACTGCTACAGGAAACTCCAGAAAGTAGCTGTCACCGGAGGCAAAAAGGTGAGTGGCTGTCCTGGCTCCAGGGCCCATGGGCTGCATGAGCACTGCCTCAGCTCCTGTGACTGGGAGGTCACTGCTGATTCAGCGATGGGAAATGGAGATAGAGAGGGCAGAAGAGGCTTGCTCAGAGCTCGGCTTCCCGTGAATGTGTGGGAAAAGGTGCTGCCCAGGTCACACCATCCTCCTGGCAGACAGCAGTGCCTGCACACTGGCCTTTAGGGCTGGGGAGGACAAACCTGTCTGCAGGGTAAGAGGAGCTGCCTGTGCAGGGGCTGCCCATCATCTGGTTTCTTCTACTGAGGGAACAGCCTCCCTTTGCCACTGAGAGCTTACACGGGCCATGTCTGTCAGCTGGTTTACTGCAGAGTTGTTCATTCCCAGTTCAGAAACTCACGCAGTGGAGATGGCTGGTGTGGAAGGGAACTTCTGTGCTCTGTGTTAGCTGGAAGTCCTCCCTTTCCCCTGCGAGGTCCTGCATGGGGCTGTGAAAGCTGGCAGGCGGCCTCAGCCTGTCCGTCCGAGGTCTCCAAGCCAGATCCGGTTGTCTTTTATTCCTGCAAATCCCCCTGGGGCCTCGCTGCCATCTGGACTCCGTGTACAGCGAGCAAATAGCTGAAATACCTCGGGAGGGGTGAAGGCTCCCGGCGTCCCCGCAGGGGCAGGACAGGAAACATCCAGACACGCATCGCACACAACTGCGGCCCCGGCAGCTGCCGCCCTGCAACGGGTCAGTGGGGGCTTTCCCCACCACTGCACCTCCTGCTTGGCCATGGGGTCACTGGGCAGCCCATCGCCCCTGTGACAGTGCTCTGTGTTTCTCCAGCTCGCTGCCAGGATTGGTTCAAAGCCCCTCTCAAGTGTTGGTGGTGTCTTTTAGAAGCAACAGGTCCCCATGACCACTTTTCAGAGAGCTTGCTAAAGAGAGCAGAGCTTTCCCTAGAGTTGTTCATACCTGGAATTGTCTTCTCCAAAGGGCTGTTTGTCAGCTGCTCTATGGCTGAGTGCTCGCTCAGCACCTGGCTGGTGTTCATATGCCCTGTGCTGACCTCACCACAGCAGGGGACAGGCTGGGATCCATCCTTCCGCCTCCTGCTGCACGAGCAGGTAGAGCTACAGCTGGAGGAGCCCTCCAAAACGTGGCAGGTTTGGGCAGAACCAGCTCCAAAGTGTTCTCTCTCTGCTCCTCTTGGGCCTCGTGACTTGAACCTCCCCTGATTTTAGGAGGCGGAGGCTGGAGAGCAAGAACTGTGCTACCAGGAGGCCAGTGTTGTGTCCACATGCATGGACATTCCTCTCCATCCTGGCCACTCACCACCACCGTCCCCTGATCGCTGTTTCTCTGTGTGCTGCACTGAGCAATTCTCTGTCCTCAGGGCCTCCGTAAACCGACAGTGGAAGAGAGAACCCATGCCAGGAAGGCGATCGTGACACCATCGCTCTTCGGCAGCTCTCTGGAGGAAATCATGCTGCGGCAGCAGGACATGTACCCAGGCAACAAGCTGCCCTGGGTGCAGACACAGCTATCGCAGCAGGTCCTGGCGCTGGGAGGAGAACAGACCGAGGGGATTTTCAGGTGAGCTTTTGGGGCGCTGTGTGACTTTTGAGCCACCCACGCGTAGGTCCCTAAAGCTGAGAAGTCAAACTTGACCTCCATAGGCTCCATAAACTTTTTTTTCTCTGAGAATAACACTCTGCCATAGAGCAGATAAAACTCCACCCTTCCCAGGTTCAGGAATGATCTCTTAAAGTAGCATTAGTCCATTGGCATGCGTTAGCACAGCTGGGGAAGCATAGATGTGACTTGAACTACTCAGGACAGCATGTACCCAGGCAAGACATTGAACTTTCATCAACAGCAGTAGTTGGCCAGTGCAGGGAAGAGAGGAGCTCTGGGGTCCGTGGCAGAGCAGTTCATCAAATGCAACATATTTGATGATGCACAAAACATGAGGAGTCAAGAGAGACAAAGAATCTGTATGGTAGAACATAGGGGATTCTGGTCTGGGTTTGGGTTTTGGTTTGGTTTTTGTTTTGTTTAAGATTTGTGTTAGCTTTTCAGTAGCTAAACTCTCAAGCACCTTTGCTGTGGCTGTCTTTGCAGGATACCTGGTGACATAGATGAAGTCAATGCATTGAAGTTGCAGGTGGATCAGTGGAGAATCCCAAGCAGTCTCAGTGACCCCAACATCCCAGGTATGGGAACACAGCAGGCATGGGTTGCTGCAGCCTTAGCTGGGGTACAGTGTAGAGGGGAAGGTGCAGGAGCAGCCGAGGAGATGTGTACACAGGATGTCTTCACCAACTGGGTTTTAATTCTGTGCCTTTTCACTGCCTTTCCAAATGCCTCCCATAGAAAAAGCACTGAGGGCAGTGGGGGAGCCTCTGGCTCTGGCGCAGTGAGGCTGTGCAAGCTGGGCAGTGCACAGAGCAGCTGGGAGATATTCAGGAGCAGCATTCTAGCTCCAAGCTCCTACTCTCCTTTAGGTGGCCCCAGAGCCACTTCCTGGAGGAGCAGGTAGGTAAGAGCCAGTGTTTTCCTCTATCTGTCCAGTTTGGCTGCCTGAGCGTTTCAGAGCTATGACTGAAATAAGCTGAAACAGCACAAGTGCAGAATCCCTTCTCTGCCCTCTGTTTTCTGAGGCACTGAATCTCACTGCCAAAGTTTGCCTCTGAAGGTGGTGGGGACGTAACCAGAGCTGTTCTCATGCACCTTCTTTCTGCCCAGCCTCTCTTCTCAAGCTCTGGTATCGGGAGCTGGAGGAGCCTGTCATCCCCCAGCAGTTCTACAAAGAGTGTATCAGCAACTATGAGAACCCTGATGCTGCCGTGGCCGTGGTGCAGCTTTTACCAGAGCTCAACAGACTGGTCCTGTGTTACCTCATACACTTCCTGCAGGTAGGCAGCACACAGGGTGTGCTTAGTGGGACAGCTGTGGTGGGCCACTGGCAGGGTTTTAGGACCAACCTGTCACCTGTATTTAAGGTGGGATTGATGGACAGGGGGGTCTGATGGCCTTGTCTCTTACAGGAGCAATAAACCGTGTTCCTGATCTTGTAGAGCACAGGCTTGGACGCAGAGGTTGAGATCTGCAGGATGTTCCCTTTCTGCTAAGGCTCCCATGCTGCCTGCTGTGTTAAAGCATAGTGGTCTTCCCCTACAAATGTGTGGCTGTGGGGCACTGTCCTTGAGGCAGGCCGCGTCTCCGCTCTCCTTGCACCTCCTCTTAGCCCACGTGTTTGTAGCCTCTTGCCCTTTTCCACTGCTCCAGGTGAATGTTGTCTTATTTTCTGCAGATCTTTGCTCAGCCATCGAATGTGGGCAGGACAAAGATGGATGTGAACAACCTGGCCATGGTGATGGCCCCCAACTGCCTACGCTGCCAGTCTGACGACCCCCGCGTCATCTTCGAGAACACGCGCAAGGAAATGTCCTTTCTTCGCATGCTCATAGTGCACTTGGACACGAGCTTCATCAAAGGGCTGGTTTGAGCCACTGCCCTGGGGTCCAAAACATTGCTCTGGGGAGTCGCTGGGTGCCTCAAGTCTTCTCCCCTCCACTTAGGTTTCTTCATTGTCTTTGCTGTTGTGGAACCCTGGGTTAGTCCCTGAGCATCTCCAAGCATATGACCTCAAGGACAAGGAATGTTCAGCACCAAGAAGTCCTTGGACATGCCAGGCTAGATTCAGTGGTTCCTGGCCTTCCAGTGTGTGTCAGAGGGTGGCATCCCGCCTCCTTGGAGCCACAGGACTTGGTTGCTCATCGAAAAGGCTGAAAGATCCATGAGAAACTGCTAGCTGGGGCAGTAAGACTCTCCATCTGCCTTCTGGAGGCAGAGTTGGCTCCAGGTAGGAAGACATCATTCCTGTGTTGTGGCATGGGCTGGTAGTGGGGGAGATGCTGCCTCACTGGGGATATCCTACTGCTGTGGAGCCAGTCTGGTTCACCCCATGATGATGTTGCTAGAGGGATGTGAAGGTGCAGAGGGTTCGCTGAGGCAGAGGGGTTCCTTGGACTGCCCTGGTCAGTGGAAGCACATTGCAGCCCAGAGGAGAGGAGGTGTTTGAGCCAACATCTCACAGCTGGAAGCCCTGGCAGGCCACATCCACACAGCATGACCTCACCTACTCTTTTAGGCCACTGCAGAGCTGAACAGCAGGATGTGGGACAGCCCTACACTGAGCTAAACCAGCACCCACCCGTGCCATGAGGGCTTGGGGACAAGAGGAAGGCCATGCTCCTCACAACAGACGGATCAACAACCTCCTAACAAGGAGCATATCCTCTGGAGGGGTAGCCCCAGTGACCTTGCAGCTCCTTTATGCTACAGGCAGCATGAGCTAACACCAACTTCCCTGAAGAACACCTAAAACCATGCTCAGAGTGGCTTCCACAACTCTGGCATCACTTTCCTGGTACCGCATCCTTCCCAGACCACTCTGCCAGCACTGAATACCAGTTGTGCCATCCTCCTGGTTCAGCCCAAGCCTAAAGAAAGCCCCCAACAATAAGAAGTGCTCCTGTGCTCAGATGGGCCCTTCCAGGCAGAGCAGCAGCATTACTGTGTGCTCATGAAATGCTGATCCTGGCTGGAGTCAGCTGTGGCACCTGTGCTCTTCCCACCAAATTCCCATGGGAGTTGCAGAACAGTTGAGAAGGGGAAAGAAGGGAAGAGGCAGATCTGAGTGTCTGAACTGTGGTGGAGCCTGCGTAAGGGTGGTGTCAGGCATTGTCACTGCTGCTTCTGAACCCCTGTGGCTTTCTGTGTGCCGCCAGAAGTGAGACACAGCAAGGACAGTGTCTTCCAGAGGCAGCGCTTGGATTTCCCTGCAGCCTCTGGATACTGTTGCGTGTTCCTTAGCAAGCAGCAGTTTCTAATTCTGTGGCATCCTTGTGTTACTCGTCTCCTCTTCCATTGAAGCGTCTTCCCTGCTGGAGGCAGGTCTGCTGTAAAAAGCTGTGTGTTGGGATTGCTCGTGCAGTGCCAGGTCTGCCAGTCACATCCAAGGTTGCATTTGCATTTCTCCATCCCTCTCCCTTTCAAGTGGGATCACCCTCTCCTGGTAGCGGTGGGAGCTGAGCCCTGCCAGCAGTGGGGTTTAAGGCTGATGTCTGAATCTGTACCCAAAGTTTGGGCATACAGTGCCACGGGCAGAGTGCCCCGAGCCTGCTGGCTGCTTGGATCTCTTGCAGTGTGTGAACGGGCTTTCCAGGGTATACTTTTGCTCAGATGAACTCCACAGTGGGAGTTCAGTTTGTGCCCAGCTAAACAAGAGCTGTGGTTCCTCTCCTTGTACTAGGTGCTTCTGTGGGTCAGGAAATCTTGCTTCCATGTCTGGATTAGCTCTGTCAGACATGTCCCCAAATATGTGCCCAGATCTCTTTCACACACCCATCCCATCCAAGCCATTCAGCTCTGTTTGGCCTCCTGAAGCACTCAACAACTTGTACTTCCAATGTGGGGCTGTTTTACCAGAAAGGTAGGGACAGGCAGGGGGTTACTGGCTCTGCCACACTGTACTGACATTGGAATCTCTGGCCAGGCTCAGACTGGAGCAGCCCTGTGGTGCCTGCCCTTCTCTTCGGGCTGCAGATGTATGTGCCTGTGTTGGGCTTTTCCTGCAGCTGGCCACCATGTAAGTGATCCATGTTATTCCTTGCACTTATTAGCTGTAGCAGTCAATCAAACCATAGGCATTTGCTGCTATTACAAATGAATGCTTCTTGCCAGGGCTGTAAAATAGGCTAATAAATGACACTGGATATTATTTTCTTTGCCAACAGATTTGTAAATAAGAATCAGTAAAGCGGCCTCTCCTCTGTTATAATAATAAATACAATCTCCATGGTTGTCTCCTGTCTTCTTTGTGACTTTCTGAAGCATGATCACGTCCACCCGGAGCTGCCGATTTCAGCCTGGATGTCAGTGTTCATGAGTGGCAGTTGGGAATCAGCATGATGTAAGTGCTTGGAAACCAAGCTGCAGGCTGCTTTGTTCTTAATTCTCAGGCAGCTGGTAAGGGACACTCAGTGGAACTTGGAAGAGAAACTTGGAAGGTTGAAACTGATAAAGGACAATAATGGTGCACATGGGGCAAAGCAGCTTGCCCCAGACTTGGTGATGTGTCCCGATGGGGCCAGCAGCCTTGTGGTGCTGGGTGTTCTTGCTGGTGATGTTGAATTTCTGGCCTGTTTTAAGTTTCCTTTTCACAGAGCTTGGCAGGAGCCTCTTGCTTGTCTCGGTGATCATGTCCTGGGAATCTGCAGCCAAAACTGGTAAAAGCAATTTTTCCAGTTGCTGGATGCAGCTGGTAGACACCGTGCCCTCAGGCCGGCTGTCCATGCTCCACACGGCTCCTGCAGAGGTTAAGTAGCTGGTTGTAGCCAAACTAGAGGTGCCCAGAGGTTGTGCCACCTCCCCAAAAATCCAGCGAGTGGGAGGCCAGATTTTAGTTTAATCTTCATGCAGGTTTTTAGTATAATCCTAAAGCATTGAGCTTTGTGCTAAATCAGCCCTGTGGGAAGACAGAGTAGAGAAACAGGCAGGGCTGCATCAGGAGCCCTGCAGCACCCGAGGGAGGCAGGGACAGGAGGGCCCCTGTCCTGATGCTGCCCCACAGCGTGCTTGATGTGGGCACAGCAAAGCACTGGTGGAATCAGCAGAACCGGCTGGTGGAGGTGGCATTGAGCTGGGGCTCTGCAGCGCAGCGCTCGGCTCCAGCACGCCCACAGGCTGTCCGTGGGACAACCACCGTGGTAGGATGGAGAAAGCCGATGTAGCTGCTGAGCGCTGCTGCTTTCAGAGCTCCTGTTGTCCTGCGGTGTTTGTCAACCACGGTTAATGGTGGGGAGAACTGGGTGTGAGTGCAGGCAGCTGGGAACCATCTCGGGCATGAAGAGGGGACAAGGAAAAGTGCAGGCGTTCAGCGTGAGTTGAAGCACGAATGGACCGTGCTGGAGTTGAGTACTTGAGAGGCATTGAGTTGCTGGACTTCTCCTTTCAACCCAGGAGGCAGCAGCTGAAGATACAACGCAGGCCATGAAGGTTTGCACCTTCATCTCTCAGGGGATATGGAGCCTCCGCCATCGAAACCATCCCACATTGCCTGAAGTGCTCAGTGTGTGCTGGTACCGCAAAGGGAGCTTGTGTCAGGACTGAGGGTGGTGCGACCTCAGCTGTCAGGGCTGGGTGCTGCCAGGATTCAGGTTCCACATGCACGAAGGCATTCAGAAGCCCAAGGCTGGTGTGACAAGCTCCTGTTTCTCCCAGAGGAGACCTAATGGCTTACATCAGCTCGTCTCCACTCCAGCCCCGTTTCCTCTACCCAGCCTGTGCCAGGTCTCATGCCTAGTTCAGACCACAAGCGATGGGGAGACCGGGTGGGTCGTGGTGGGGATGTGGAGGGTTGATGAGGAGCTGTTGGATTGTTTCAGCCACAATGTACAGCTTCCCTGACATGACCTGCCCTTGGTGCCTGCTGGGGAAGACAAAGGTGCTGCAGCTGCAAATAGTGCCCAAATGCTGTGCTGGGGTGTCACTGCAGTGTGTGCTACCCACCACTCGTGGGGCAGGATGAGACAGCCAGACCCCATCCCCCAGGGACAAGAGAGGGGCCTAGAGAATGGGTCCCTGTTGCCTGCAGACAGCCCCAAAGAGGAGGAGGAGGTGTGGGGGTACAGCGTTCCCTGGCTGAATCAGCACAGGGTGTATTGTTGAAGAAGTGCTGCTTGTTTGCACATCTCCCCCACGCTGCTCCAAGGACATCATTCCCTGGAGATCTGCAGGTGGGTCCCAGCCTCTCTGGATGCTCTGACCAGCGAAGAAGAGGGAAGAAGCCATCCTGGGGTAGGAACTGCCTGGATGTGCAGCGCTGATGAAGGCACAGAGTCTCGGTGAGTCCCTCATCTCCCACCCCTGTGTGTGCCTTGGGAGCAGGCCTGGAGCTCAGCAGCGCCCTGACAGGAGCGGGTACGAGCAGGGTGAGGCGTGGCAGG